TGTACTGTGTGCTAACCAAATAAATCATACCTTGCATAACGTACCTATGATAGGGTAAGAGAACAGAATGCAGAAAACAATGTTACAGCTACAGAAAAGGTGCAGAGAAAGATCAATTCTAATATACGACAGGTCCGTTCAGGAGCATTTTGGAATGCTCATGTTTTCTACTGTGAGGACTGATGTAAAGTATTTACTCAACTCCTGTGCTGTTTATTGGTTCCCCATTATGATTTTCCCTATCTTTAAGGGGCGTATGTCCACTTTGGATTCGCTCTTCATTTTTATGGATTTAAGGCAGATCTTGCTGTCTGTCTCGACATTACTTTAAAGTTTACCCTCAAAGTTCATTTTCTCCCTTGATGACCTGTTTGGTCAACTTTTGTTGATTTTTAAGATGCCCCCAATCCTCCACCTTACCACTAATCTTTCCACATGGTATGTTTTCTCTTTCAATTTGATGCAACCCTTAACTTTCTTGGCAAATCATTTATTGGCTTATCCCCTTCCTAGAATTCTTCCTCACTGGAATATATCATTGCTGTGAGCCATGAACGTAAACATCTGCCATTGTTCCTCAATCGTCTTTGTTGTTAAACCCCTTCCCCATCTGCTTCAACCAGCTCGGTCCTCAATCCTTTGTATTTAAGCAGTACATTTATTTAAACAGCACAGTTGTTTCTGACCCAAATTCTTCCTACTCAAACCGAATGCTAAATTCTACCATATTATGGTCTCCGTTTCCTATGGATTTTGTACACTCATGTCATATATTAAACCTGCCTATTTATGCATCAACAGGTTCAAAATAGCCGTATCCCTGGTTGGTTCCATTCTAGGAAACTGTTTCTTATACACCGAATGAACTCTTCAAGGCTTTTCTGTCATATGGCTATTCTGATTTACATGAAGATTAAAGTCATCCATGATTAATGTACTGCCTTTGTTACATTCCCTCATTATCTCCTGATTTATTCTCTGTCCTATCATACAGCTACTGTTAGACCTATAGACTAATAGAGTACTGCTACCAGTGTCTTCTTTCCCCTTTATCCCTTTCCTCCACCCACAGTTACTATGCCTTCAGATCCACGATCATTTTACGCTGTTGCACTTATCTCATTCCATAACAACAATACTATCCCACCACCCTTTTCTTTCTGCCTGCCATTTCGAAAAGTTACATACCCCTGAATATTTAATTCCAAGCTTTGAACTCCTTGCAACCATATCTCAGCAATTGCTGTAAGTTCACAACCTTAAACCTGAATTATTAGCACAAATATATTTATTTTGTTCCAACTACTACGTGCTTTTAAGTAAAGAGCCATGAATTATGCCTTTTTACCATTTTTCTCCTTTTGACCCAATTTACTGCTGTTTTATCCCTTCCTGCCATACTCTGGGTAATGTTTCCAAATATTTGCTCTCCCAATTAATTTAAAACCCTTTCTACAGCCTAATTATTTTATTCACCAGGACAGGAAACTAATGGCAGCACAGTTCAAGTGAAACCCACCCCAACAGAACAGCTCCCTCAGAGTCATAGAATCAAAGTTCAGAAGAGGTCCTTTGGCCCAACAAGTCTACACTGCCAAAAATATACTACTACCTACACTTGCCCCACTTTCCCACACTATGCCCATAACTTTGAATGTTATGACGCTTCAAGCGCATATCAAGTTTTTTTTTGAAAGGTTGTAATGTTTTCCCGCTCCCAGGCAGTGCATTCCAGACACCCACCACCCTCTCACCAAAAATTTCACTACCATCTGTTCCTCTGAGCTTCTTAGAGTCTTGCCATTCATTGTGCATTCTCCTCTCTTGTTCCTTCTTCCAGGTGTATCAAAACACATTTTTCAGGATTAAATTCCATTCTGTCATTGATCTGCCCATCTGACCAATCTGTTGATATCCTCTCATAACCTAATACCTTTCTCCCCACTGCTAATCACCCAGCTGATGTTTGTGCCATCTGCCAAGTAACTTATCGTCATGCCCCCATATTCCCATCTACATCATTTATGAATATCACAAACAATAAGCGGCACAACACCGATCCCTGTGGCACACCAATGGACACTGACCTCCAGTCACATAAACAACCTTCTACCACCACCGTGTCTTCTGTCACTAAACTGATTTTGGATCTAACTTGCCAAGTTACCATAGATCGCATGTACTTTTACTCCCTTCTATCTCAATACTTGGGACAGTGCCTCAAAAACCAAAACCCATTTTACCCACACCAATCTTTTGAGCCACACATTTAACTCCTTGATTTTGTTGACTCTTATGCTAGTTTGCCCATGGCTCCAGTAGTAACTCAGAGATTAATACCTTGCAGGTTGGTGGAGTGGAGGTGGTGGCATAGTGGCAATGTCACTGACTAGTAATCCTGAACCTGAGGAGAAAATTCTGGGGACATGGGCGCCATAGCAGATGGTGACAATGTGGCTGACTTCTAACTATCCTCTGAGCAATAAATTCTGGCCTAGCCAGCAACACAGATATTCCATGATGATGTGGAGCTGGACATTTTCAGCATACATGCAAAAATAGTGCAGAAGCGTTGGAGGAGAACGGTGTGGTCAACTATAACAAAGGATGCAGATAGGTTGAGAAAGGTTGGAAAGCCTTCTGCTTTTGTCAGAGACTGTCACAAGCCATTTCTCTCTTGCCATAGGGCAAGTGCCAGAGAACTGGAGGACAGCTAATGTGGTTCCACTTTTCAAGAAGGTGATAAAGACAAACCAGGGATAAACCAGTGAGTCTCACATCAGTGGCAGGGAAACTACTGGAGAAAATTCTGAAGGATAGAATTAATCACCCATTTACAGAAGCAAGGTTTGGGTCAGGGATAGTCTGCATGGTCTTGCCAGATAGAGGTCATGCCTAACAAATCTGGCTGAATGTTTCAAAGAGGTGACCAAGTGTGCACATGTAGTTTATAAGGATTCCAACAAAGCCTTGGACAAGGTCCAACATGGGAGACTGATGAAGAAGGTAAAAGCACATGGGATCCAGGGTAACTTAGTAAGTTGGATCCAAAACTGACTAGTAGGAGGAGACACAGGGTGGTGATAGAAGGCTGTTTGTGACTGGTAGCTGGTGTCTAGTGGCATACACAGGGATCAGCACTGGGTGTTTATTGTTCATGATGTAAGATTTTAGACAACTTTCTGTACCTGACCACATGATATACATATCCAGACTCTCAACAGCCACTGTGTTCAACATTTATCCAATTTATCATTTTTAGGTCCAAATGAGTAACCTCATTTGCCTGCATTAAAATCTAATTGTCACAAACTTGTCATTTACTTCAACTATCCACAGGTCTGTAATTTTACTGTTATAATGCTGCCCTTCTTAGTGTCAATGGTATATCTGTATATGTGGCTTTCTATATATGTGGCCTACTATACAAATTAAGTGATTAAGAAATAGTGAACTGTTGAGGCCCTAACAAAAATCTTTTCAGGTCACCACTTGTTACATTCTACCATTTATAATACTTGCCCATTAATCAATTCCAATGCCTGTCAACTATTCAATTTCCTAACCAAGTCAATAATTTGACATGAAGTTTCAACTTTAGTTAACTATATTTTGTATGTGACTCTTGGAAGTCCAATATGAATAATATATATCTACATTCTCCAGGACACTATACAGCCAACTATACAAATAATCAAAATTTGTAAGGCATGATTTTTTTTTAATGTTCCTTAAATCATATTATAATTATAGATTCTAGTAATTTCCCAACAGGTTTTCAACTAAGCAATAAGCCACCCTCCACAAATGACCATAAGTATCTCCTCCCATCAGCGAGCAACAGTGGTTTTATATATAGTTTGAGGGGCACCACCGTGTGAGCACAGAGAAAGGCAAGGAGTTAAGCTTCCATGCATCAACTGGATTATAGCATAACATTTCAATCTAAAAGAATGGCTCCAAATCGAAAGAACATTGGAAGATTATAATTAAAGCATCTACAATATTCTCACCTATGTCTTTATACCTCAAGGTGTTACCCAACTGCTCTTGGGGATTTATCACTTATTAAGGGACAACTTTTTTTTACACAGAGTGATTTGTGTATGAAATGAACCACCAGGGAAAGTAATGGACGCAAGTACAGTTTATAACATTTAAAAGACATTCGGATAAGTTCATGAATAGGAAAGGTTTGGACGGATATAGGCCAAGCGTGGACAGGTGGGTCTAGTTTAGTTTGGGAACATGGTCAGCATGGACTGGTTGGACCAAAAGGGTCTGTTTCCATGCTGTGTGACTCTATGACTCAAAGTGTCATTAATTTCGCTATCACGGACATGGTTTACATTAACAGTTTCAGATATGATCAGATATTCCCCAATGCTCAAGTAAATTTATCACCTGGCATAATACAAAGTCACGCAGATGAGCTGGTAACAGGTCAGATTCGGTGTGTTGGGGCTGCATCATTGAGCCTGACACGGTCAGGCTGGAGGGACAGAAGAACAGACTCCTGATCATCATCCAGTGAAAAAATGCATGAATACAAAATATCATGTGAGGATAGAGTTAGATGTAAAGGCCTCCACAGGCAAAGAGACTACCGACACTCAAAAGTCTACTTGAGCAAAGTTTACAGAGGGCTACCATAGTTCACAAACCATGAACTGCCATAAGTCAGCACCTAAAAATACCAGCGAGCTACTGATATTTAAAACATTTGAAAAGATATTTTTCTTAGCGAGCCAAAAATTTAGTTTTGCACCCAGAGTTTTGAGTAAGAGCTAAATTCTTTGGCAAAAACCTACAAAATGATTAATGTGGTTCGGTGCCAGGATATACCAAAGAGAACGATGATGAGACTATTTGATGCATAGTAAGTGATCAGAATATAGAAATGAAGTTCACTTCAGTTGCAGCACAGAATTTAAAATAGCAGAAAATGCTTTAATCCAAAGCTTGAATTGCTCTAACCGTTGGAAGTACTTTAAATCTGTACCTGTTGCATTTGCTCACTGTCCTGGTGGCTAGACAGTTGCTCCTGCAGATCCTCCAGTTCAATGATGAAATGTTCCAAAGCTGTTTCTTTGCCTCGCAACTGCTCTTCAAGCTCAATTATTCTTAACCGGCAGACATGGAGCTCTGAATGATTATGGTCGATACCATTTTTCACTTCTTTCTCCTACAAGACATCATTTGATTTGAAAGTTTGATTTTGAATAATATAACATAATCACATATACAACTGTGGAAATAAAAAGGGTTTAGATACAAATACACATCTGACACACTATAGTAATTGCATTGCTTCTAAAACGTATCCACAAGTCTAACAAAACACAAATGGGCAAAGAAAATAACTGATTTAGAGTGCAATTATAATATTATCTAGATTGAGCAGGTCAGATGATTGCTTAAATTACAAATGATCTGATAAGGTGATGGTCAGGCTACTGCTATCAGTCATACACTTTAGAAATTGCGAACTCGTAGATGTCTTCATCAAGTTGATCTTTTTCCTCCAATATGGCAACATTTGGACTTATGCATAAAGAACAGTCATTTGATGAAATAACGAGTAAACCGTAATCTAACCTTCAAAGACAAAAGGACAGAAAATTGTGGAATGGAGGTAAAATGCCAATGGAACATGAAACACAACATACAGAAAGCAGTATTGCTAATGTGTGAATTCCCACGAAAATGAATGAAAGAAAGTGCAAGAAAGCAAAACATTTATCAGGCATTCTGCATAATTTTGGCACATGATTACTCTTATAAATTTCTCTTTAGGCATAAGCAGGCACAGAACGCAATCTAAACATCAAAAAAAAGAAATTTTACAGCAAAATACTACATGCAAAAATAACTTGTATTTTTATAACAACTGAAAGCAGACCCTTCTGAGGAAGGGTCACCGGACCCGAAACGTTAACTCTGATTTTTTTCTTCACAGATGCTGCCAGACCTGCTGAGCTTTTCCAGCAACTTCTGTTTTTGGTCTTGTATTTTTATGTTGGAATATCTCAAAGCAGTTACTATTTGCAGTGTGCAACTTTAAGAGACAAGTGTAAAGCAGTGTCACAGGAAAAATGTGGACTGAGTGTCAAAGACTCCAATACACAAAACTAAATTCTAAAAGCTTAAAGCCAAACAGCATTAAAAACTGGCATACTTCAGGCAGAAAAGTCTGGGACTTCGAACAAAATCTCACCACAACTGCGTGCTCCTCTGCTGTACTTGTGTTTGACAGTTCACCATCAGCCTGGGAAAGCAAAGGTAGAACACATAAAAAGTTGAAATGCAGGAAAATCACAGTAAACAATTGAGAATTCGGTATCTCTTCACTATTTAGAAAATGTAAATCTCACAATATCAAATCAACCTTCACAACAGTTTTGACACTCAACAGGAAACTAAAAACTTGACATTTTTCATCTCTCTGGCCTTGTTAAATAATTTGTTTAAGCTTTGAATTGTGAGTCAGAAAGCTATTCAAATGAAAGGTTTTCACATGGATGACATCAACAATTTGCCAAAATCTGACTTTAGCTACTGTCAACATTCATTCACTCACCACTTTGTGATTAGGTACTCTAGGACAAAGATAACTCAACAACTATAATTTCAGTGTGAGTCACCAGCCCTGTGTAAAAGACGACAGATTTGGCGACCATATAATGTGGAAATGACACTGCTCAAGTGCAACAAGTAAAAAGTGATAATATAGACATTTGGTGATAGAAATTCAGTTCCGAGCAGAATACATTGTAAAGGATACAAGGTATTTTTTATACAAAAGAACAAAGAAAATTACAGCACAGGAACAGGCCCTTCGGCCCTCCAAGCCTGCGCCGATCCAGATCCTCTATCTAAAACTGTCGCCTATTTTCCAAGGATCTGTATCCCTCTGCTCCCTGCCCATTCATGTATCTGTCTAGATACATCTTAAATGACACTATTGTGCCCACCTCTACCACCTCCACTGGCAACGTGCACCCACCACCCTCTGCGTAAAGAACTTTCCACACATATCTCCTTTAAACATTTCCCCCTCTCACCTTGAAATGGTGACCCCGAGTAATTGAGTCCCCCACTCTGGGGGAAAAAACTTCTTGCTATCCACCCTGTCTATACCTCTCATGATTTTGTAGACCTCAATCAGGTCCCCCCTCAACCTCCGTCTTTCTAATGTAAATAATCCTAATCTACTCAACCTCTCTTCATAGCTAGCACCCTCCGTACCAGGCAACATCCTGGTGAACCTCCTCTGCACCCTCTCCAAAGCATCCACATCCTTTTGGTAATGTGGCGACCAGAACTGTACGCAGTATTCCAAATGTGGTCGAACCAAAGTCCTATACAACTGTAACATGACCTGCCAACTCTTGCACTCAATACCCCGTCCGATGAATGAAAGCATGCCGTATGCCTTCTTGACCACTGTCGACTTGCGTTGCCATCTTCAGGGTACAATGGACCTGAACACCCAGATCTCTCTGTGCATCAATTTTCCCCAGGGCTTTTCCATTTACCGTATAGTTCACTCTTGAATTGGATCTTCCAAAATGCATCACCTCGCATTTGCCATTTCTCCGCCCAACTCTCCAATCTATCTATATTCTGCTGTATTCTCCAACAGTCCCCTTCACTATCTGCTACTCCACCAATCTTAGTGTCATCTGCAAACTTGCTAATCAGACCATCTATACCTTCCTCCAGATCATTTATGTATATCACAAACAACAGTGGTCCCAGCATGGATCCCTGTGGAACACCACTGGTCACAGTTCTCCATTTTGAGAAACTCCCTTCCACTACAACTCTCTATCTCCTGTTGCCCAGCCAGTTCTCTATCCATCTAGCTAGTGCACCCTGGAGCCCATGCGACTTCACTTTTTCCATCAGCCTACCATGGGGAACCTTATCAAACACCTTACTGAAGTCCATGTACATGACATCTCTCGCCCTTCCCTCATCTATCAACTTTGTCACTTCCTCAAAGAATTCTATCAAGTTGGTAAGACATGATTTATAGATTTACTCATTTTTACGGGACATGGGCATCACTGGCTGACCAGAATATATTGCCCATCCCTAGTTGCCTTTCAGAAGGTGGTGATGAGCTGCATTCTTGAACCGCTGCAATCCACCTGCGTGGGTTAACCCACAATGTCATTAGGGAGGGAATTCCAGGATTTTGACCCAGAAACAGCGAAGGAATGGCAATATATTTCCAAGTCAGGATGGTGAGAATAGCTTGGAGGGGAACTTGAAAGTGGTGGTGCTCCCATGTATCTGCTGCCCTTGTCCTTCTAGATGGAAGTGGTCGTGGGTTTGGAAGGTGCTGTCTGAGGATGCTGGGTGAATTTCTGCAATGCATCTTGTAGATAGTACACACTGGTGCAACTCAGCATCGGTGGTGAAGGGTGTGGATGTAGTGCCAATCAAGCGGGCTGCTTTGTCCTGGATGTTGTCAAGCTTCTTGAGTGTTATTGGGGCTGCACTCACCTACGGGAGCATTTCATCACATTCCTGACTTGTGCCTTGTAGATGATGGACAGGCTTTGGGGAGTCAGATGAGTTACTCGCTGCAGTATTCCTAGACTCTGGCCTGTCCTTGTAGCCACTGTGTTTATGTGATTCATCCAGTTGAGTTTCTGGTCAATGATAATATCAGGATGTTAATAGTGGGGGATTCATTGATGGTAACACCATTGAATTTCAAGGCAGTGGTTAGATTATCTCTTATTCATGATGGTCATAGCCTGGCATTTGTATGGCATGGACATTACTTGCCACTTGTCAGCCCAAGCCTATATGTTGTCCAGATCTTGTTGCATTCAAACATAGACTGCTTCAGTATCCGAGGAGTTGCAAATGGTGCTAAACATTGTGCAGTCATCGGCGAACATCCCCACTTCTGACCTTGTGATGGAGGGAAGGTCATTGATGAAGGAGCTGAAGATAGTTGGGCCTAGGACACTACCCTGAGAAATGCCTGCAAAGATGTCCTGCAGCTGAAATGACGGACCTTCACAGCCACAACCATCTACCTATGCATCAGGTATGACTCGAACTATCGGAGAGTTTGTCCCCAATACCAATGGATTCCAATTTTGCTAGGGCTCTTTGATGCCACACTCGGTCGAATGCAGCCTTGATGTCAAGGGCTGTCACACTCATCTCACCTCTGGAATTCAGCTCTTTTGTCCATGTTTGAACCAAGGCTGTAATGAGGTCAGGAGTTGAGTAGCCCTGGCAGAACCCAAACTGGGTGTCACTGAGCAGGTTATTGCTGAGCAGGTGCTGCTTGACAGCACTGTTGATAACCATCTTCCATCACTTTACTGATGATCGAGAGTAGATTGATGGGGTGGTAATCGGCCGGGTTGGATTTGTCCTGCTTTTTACGTACAGGACATACCTAGGCAATTTTCCATGTTGTCGAGTATATCCTAGTATTGTCGCTGTACTGGAACAGCTTGGTTCTGGGAACGGCAATCTTTGAAGCACAAGTCTTCGATACTATTACCAGAATGTTGTCAGGGCCCATAGCCTTTGCAGTATCCAGTGTCTCCAACCATTTCTTGATGTCACATGGAGTGAATCGAATTGAAGACTGGTATCTGTAATGCTGGGGAACACTAGAAGAGGCAGAGACAGATCATCCACTCGACACTGAAGATTACCACGAAAGCTTCAACCTTATCTTTTGCACTGATATACTGGGCTCTTCCATCATTGAGGATGGGGATATTTGTGGAGCCTCCTCCTCAAATGAACTGTTTAATTGTCCACTACCATTCATAACTGGAAGTGGCAAGACTGCACAGCTTAGATCTGATCCGTTAATTGTGTGAACGCTTAGCACTATCATTTGCTGCTTAAGTTGTTTGGCATGGAAGTAGCCCTGTTTGGTGGCTTCACCAGGTTGACACCTCATCTTCAGGTATGCCTGGTGCTGGTCCTGTCATGTCCCCCTGCACTCTCCAGGAAACCAGGGTTGATCCTCTGGCTTGATGGTAATGGTTGAGTGGCAGATATGGCAGACCATGAGTTTACAGATTCTGCTGCTTTTGATGGCCCACAGTGCCTTATGGATGCCCATTCTTCATTTGCTAGATCTGTTTGAAATCTGTTCCACTTAGCATGGTGATAGTGCCACACAACATGGTGGAAGTTATTCTCAATATCAAGGCAGACTTTGTCTCCACAAGGACTGGGTGGTGGTTGCTCTTACCAATGCTGTCCTGAACAGATGCATCTGCAGCTGGCACACTAGTAAGGATGAGGTCAAGTATATTTGTCCCTCTTGTTGCTTCCCTCACCACCTGCTGCAGACACAGTCTAGCAGCTATGTCCTTTAGGACTCGACCAGCTCAATCTGTATTGTTAACATTGAAATCTTCCACCCAGAGTACATTTTGTGCCTTGCCATCCTCAGTGCTTCCTCCAGGTGTTGTTCAACATGGAGCAGTACTGAATCATCAGCTGAGGGAGAACAGTTTTCGGCAATCAGCAGGAAGTTTCCCTGCCCATGGTTAACCTGATGCCACAAGACTTCATGGGGTCAATGTTGAGAACTCCCAGGCAACCCTCTCCCGAATGTATACCACTGTGCCACCACCGCTGCCCAGTCTGTCCTGCTGGTGGGACAGGACATATCCAGGGATGGTGATGTGGTGTCTGGGACATTGTCCGTAAGGTAAGATTCCGTGAGCATGACTATGTCAGGCTGTTGTTTGACAAGTCTGTAATACAGCTCTCCCAATTTTAGCACTAGCCCCCAGATGGTAGTAAGAACTTTGCAGGGTCAACAGGGCTGTTTCTGCTATTGTCTTTTCCAGTGCCTAGGTCAATGTCAGGTGATTTGTCCAGCTTCATTTCTTCTTTAAGTCTTTGTAGCAGTTAGTACAAGTGAATGGCTTACGAGGCCATTTTAGAGGGTAATTAAAAGTGAGCCACATTGCAGTGGGTCTGGGGTCACATGTAGGCCAGACCATGTGAGGATGGCCAATTTCTTGCTCTGAAGGACATTAGTGAACCAGATGGGTTTTTACCCCTCGTTGGTTCCCTCACCACCTGCTGCAGACCCAGTCTAGCAGCTATGTCTTTTAGGACCCGACCAGCTCGATCTGTATTGCTGATATTGAAATCTCCCAGCCAGAGTACGACAAATGATTTCATGATTGTCAATAGATTCTTAATTCCAAATTTTTAAGAAGTTTTTTTATTGAATTCAAATTCCACCATCTGCCATGGCTGGATTTGAACCCAGATCCCCAGAACATTAGCCGAGTTTCTGGATTATAGTCTAGTGATAATACCACTAGGCCATCGCTTTCCCTAACAAGAATTGGTGATCCACCATCTGGATATGTTCCTGAGAAATAACTGAAATCTATCTTGACCACATCTGTCATTTGATGCGCTCTGTAGGATGTTCCAGCATGCATATTGTTAACTAATATTTGTCAGATGTTAATTCTGAATGTTAGTTTACAAGTTGTACATACGAATATATACATACAATTTGCGCACACCAATAAATACAAACATATAAATTAGGAATAGTCAGCCACATGACACTGGAGAGGATGCAGAGGTGATTTACCAGGATGTTGTCTGGGCTGGAGAGTTCGGTTATGAAAAGAGACTGGAGAGACTAAGGTTATTTTCCACAGAGCAGAGAAGATTGAAAGGGGACGTAATCAACTTGAGGGACATAGATAGCATAGGCAGGATGAAACTTTTCCTTTTGATGCAGGGATCAAATGACTAGGGGGCAAAGATTTAAAGTAAGGGGCAGAAATTCAGAAGAGATGTGAGGCAAAACCTTTTCACTCAAGAGCGTGGTGGAAATCAATGCCTATAAAGGGTGGGAGAGGCAGAAACCATTCATCAGATTTAACAAGTTTTTAGATGTGCATTTGCGATGCGACAATATACAATAGTACAGGCCAAGTGCTTGAACATGGAATTAGAATAGTTAGATGGTTGTTTTTGACTAGTGTGATGGGCTGAAGAGCCCCTTTCAATGCTGTAGATCTCTGTGCCTCTATTGGGCTGTCACATTTTAGATGCGCTAATGAATGCATTTGGAAAAGATATTTCCTTTTGTGGGAGAATCTACATTTGTGGGGCATGGGTGTCACTAGCAGGGCCACCATTTATTGCATGTTCCTATTTGGGCTTGAGAAAGTGGTGACAATCTAGAGCTAGTGGTCACCAGTTACAACTAAGGGGTTGCCAATTGAAGACAGAGAAAAAGGTAGTGTTCTTCTGACAGTCACAAGTCACAGAGGTACACAGCATGGAAACAGGCCTTTCAGCCCAACTAGTCCAGGCCGACCAGGATTTCCTAAATTGAACTAGTCACATTTCGCTAGTTCAGTTTCTTTTGGAATTCTCTTCCTGCAAGTCAGTGGAAGCAGAGTCATAGAGTTGTACAGCACGGAAACAGACCCTTCCGTCCAAGCACTCCATACCGAACATAATCCCAAACTAAACTAGTCCCACCTACCTCGTCCTGCCCCAAATCCCTCCAAAACTTCCCTATTCACGTGCTTATTTAAGTGTCTTTTAAACACTGTAACTGTGCCCGCGTCCACTACTTCCTCAGGAAGTTCATTCTACATGCAAACCACCCTCTGTGTAAAAAAAATTGCCCCTCGTGTCTTCTTCAAATCTCTGTCCTCTCACTTTAAAAATATGCCCGCAGTCTTGAAATCCCCCATCCTAGCCTTCAATATTTTTAAGACAGCTGACAGATTCTTGATGAACAAGGGGATGTAAGTTATCGGAGGTAGGCAGGAATGTAGAGTAATCAGATCTGTCATGACTTTATGGATTTATGCAGAAATCCAATTTGGATCAACTTTTTTAAAACTACTATTTTAAAAGAGGGTGGATTTTGTAAAATCATTCTGGAAACTAAAAATTTTGAGCACAAGAATTTTCTTCCTTCACAGTTCTTCCATAGCATGTCCAAGCATGGACTTCACGTTAGAAGGCAAATGACTGGAAGTAAGATGATTTATGTTTCACTTCCCCACAGCTAAACAACTGACATAATGCAGCCAGTAAATTACGTCTTTATAGCTGTGGAGACAATCGGAAAACACTGCTCTTCTCGTACTGCATTCTAAGTTACTGTAAGGTACAGCAAATCAAGTGTATGGACAAAAGTATAAATTACCTATAAACACTGAACAGAATTAGAGGAATTCTTCATATGCACTTCTCCAAGAGTCGCATCAATTTAAAAAATTCTTTTTCCTAAATATTACTAGGTCAAACAGTGAGGAACATCCTTATTCTGGAGGGTCTCAGTTAATGAGAAACAGTAAAACAGAACCACTAAGTCAATTAACTGGAAATAAAGCAAAAGCTTTAAAATACAGTTCAATAATTTTACTTCAGTTTACAGTTTTGAATGATATGGAAGTGCTGGTGTTGGGCTGGGATGTACAAAGTCAGATGTCACACGACACCAGGTTATAGTCCAACAGGTTTATTTGAAATCACACAAGTTTTCCGAGTGCAGCCTCTTCGTCAGGTGCACCTGACAGTGAAAAATGTTAGTTGTAGAATCAGTGCTCAAACACATGGTAGGACATAAGAAACATTTTAATTAGCAACTTTTACTGAGTGCTTTGGAAACCTCTTCAACTCAGCACTTTTTGCAGCACATCTTGAGTTATGGCAATTTTGAAAACTGAAGCAGCTTATAATACTAAATATGCATTCACTAGATATTAACATCACCTACTCTAGTATCATCATACATGACATTATGTAATACGCCATACTTTTGCTATTGTAATTTCTGTATAATGTAGCATAGCTTAGGACTATTTAGTGTCAACATTTTCAAATGATAGGATTTATTTTGAAACTGGCTTAATCCTTTGCATCATTACATGAAACTTGTGGGCTGTTTTACCTCATGTTGGACGAAAGCTTCATCCTGTTCAACTAATGAGTGCTCTTCTGACAGAACATCATCCTGGTGGATAGCCTGGCTCTTCCTCTTCTTCTTCTTTTTTGTCGAATCTGAGGAGTCACATTTTGCCTTTTGTTGTCGGTAGTGAGCAAGCTGCAGAGAAAAGTGAAGGAAAGGTAAAGGGAGAGGTATGAGAGGAACAGGTAACACAACCACAGCATGGTGAGAGGACACTGTGTAATAGCCACACACACACACAGAGGTGCTGGATCCCACTGAGACCCAGGGCTGGGCAGCACAGACAACTATGCTCTCACTTGTTAAATCAAAATTGCACATCTGCATCAAAAATGCTGATGACAGATTTCTTTTATCAGGACTCTCTTCTCTAACCCTGTACACAAATATGTGCAGACTTGACTAAGAATATCACAAATGGAGACACAGGGTCAAGGTGATATGCATCACTATGCCTCCTGCTCACAACCTTTAGTTTATCATTTTTACACCAGGAGGTAAGGAAGGAGAATGTGTTTTTGTACAACTGCAGCCTGGCATTTGTTGGCTGTGTAGCTATATCCCTCCTTTGCTTTTTAAGCAGCTTACAACGGATTACCGCTTTGGCACACAAATCCATACATTCAGACTTTGGGAAGCTACAATATGTAATCTAACCATGAATTCATCAGAAACTGAAGGTGGATGGGGCTAAAAGAAACCCTGAACAACCTACGACTAGAGATGATCTAATCACTAAAGGTCACCACAGAAATTGTGACAATAAGGAGGGCACTCTCTTTCCTGGCCTTTATTAAATAGATATTTTCATTGAGTGAACACCTCAAAATTAAACAGCAGAAACAGTAATTTAACATAATCTCTCTTGTGACAATGACTGAAGCTCACTGAATAAAGCAGGAATTCAGTTTGATTAATATTTAATATATAGAATTTGCTCAATACCTATGAACAAATGATGCATTTATTTCTGACACTTAATGTGTAATGTAACAGCTGGTTCTAACAGGTTCTAATAAATGATGGAAAGATACAATGTGAAAAATAACTTGCTCAACTGGATAAATGTATCTTGCACTTAGATAAGCAACCAAAGAATAGTTGCATTCAATTCTCCACCTGTGTCAATTATCCAAACTTAGGCGGTACATTAGAGCAGGACGTAAAATTGACTTGTGTCTCCTTGGCTCTTTTTGGCAAAGGTCAGGATGATGATATAGAGACCAGGGGAGAGACAAAAACCAAACCCAAAAAAATCCACCATAGTTCCTGAGCACAATGTAGTATTTGTGCTGTACAGCTTATATTTGAGTACACAAGTTTGCACTCATCTGCAATGCTACCTGCAATTAAACAACTTGCTGATTCACATTGTTTAGGCTCATCTATGAATATGGTCACTTTAATTGATGGGCTGCCAGCATCTGTGAAATTGTATTGTGCTGATTATCTTCAGGAGAAGGGAAGGAGAGGGAAAAATGTTCAAATGCTTTCAAAGCCGTTCGTTCAGATCGATCATAGCTTTCTAAGGAAAATGAGACTGGATTGTTCTGAGCATTTCTAGGTATAAAATGTGAACTGCTGGTGTTGGTCAGTATTTTAAAATGTAGAAAAATAAAGCAGTAATTCAAATTAAACTGTCACATATTTAGTTACATAATTCAACAATGATCACTTGAACCACAATCTTAATATTTAGAAACAAAATCAAATTCATCCACACAGAGTTCATTGAATTTATCTTGACTCACTATGGCACAACTGCAAGAATCTTGTTCTGGATCAGATTTTCTACACTCAGTTTCACAATCAACTCTCCATAACAATATCTTCCTCTTCACCCAGTGAATTGGACATTATGAATTCTTTGAACCATCTGATAGCAGCTTGTGTATTAATTGCATTCCAAAATTTAACACCAAAACATCTTCCCATTTTCTGTGAAGTTCTATTCCTCAGTCAACCAGTGAACTGTTACATTGAGCAGTGACATAATTCTTGGCATATATCTAGCGTTGAACTAGAGGCATTGAGCCTTGAAGTTACTGCAATTTAATGTTATTCATTTGTACATGCCTCTTGATCTCATCAGTCATGTGGTCTACCTGACCACATAGATTCCACCAGGCCACCTCTTCCGCACATGATCAATGGAGACTCGTGTTTTTGACACTGTCTGAAGAATCAATCATTACAAACAGGTCATTTTGGCAGTCTCCATGTCAGTCGATCTTCTGTAAACTCAACATTTTTGATCCATTAAGGAGGTAACTAACTAGCTAGCTGTTTACCTGAACTTTTGCTTGATGGTTGTGGCATATTAGGAATGTTACTGGGCTAGTAATCTAGAGATATAGGTTCAAATCCCACTGAGAAAGATGGTGAAATTAGAATGCAATTTTAAAAATCTGGAATTTAAAAAGTTAGATTAATGGCAACCAAGTAACCACCAATCTTTATTGTTTAAAAAAAAACTCATCTGGTTCACTAATGTTCTTTAGGGAAGGTAACCTGCCATCCTTGTCTGATCTGGCCTACATGTGACTTCATATGCACAGCAATGTGACTGACTCTTAACTGCCCTCTGAAATGGCCTAGCAAGCCACTTAGTAACCAGGACAAGTATGGATATACAATAAATGTCAGCCATGCCAGCAAAGTCTGCATCGCATGAACAAATGAGAAAAGATCCGTCAACTTCTGAGGACTAATTCCAAATACAAGGTGTTCAAGAAAGAACGAAAAAGGAGAGGGGTTACCGAATCAATTGAGATCATTGCAGTGCTAGAGAGAAAGGATATCCCACATAACTTCATAAGGCATAGGGGCAGAATTAGGCTATTTGGCCCAATGAAGTCTGCTCCGCCATTTGATCGTGGTTGATATGCTCCTCACCCCTCACATAGAGTCCAGAACAGAACAGGAACAAAAAAATATGCAATTACATTGCTCAGACTAGTTTAAGATCACCAACTAACGAAAATTATCAAAAGAAATAAATTTGCAAGGAAATTGGAGTCCCAGGTAGACAGGATAGTGAAGGCGGCATTCAGTATGCTTGCCTTTATTGGTCAGTGCATTGAGTATAGGAGTTGGGAGGTCATGTTGCAGCTATACAGGACATTGGTAAAGCCACTTCTGGAATACTGCATTCAATTCCAGTCTCCCTGCTAATAGGAAGGATGTTGTGAAACTTGAAAGGGTCAGAAAGGATGCAGAAGAATGTTGCCAGGTTTGGAGGGTTTGAGCTTTAGGGAGAAGCTGAATAGGCTGGGGGTATTTTTCCTGGAGCGTCGGAAGCTGAGGGGTGAACTTACAGGGGATTATAAAATCATCAGGGGCATAGATAGGGTGAATAGCCAAGGTCTTTTCCCTGGGTTGGGGGAGTCCAAAACTAGAGGGCATAGGTTTAAGGTGAGAGGGGAAAGATTTAAAAGGGGCCTTAGGGGCAATTTTTTCATGCAGAGTGTGGTGAGAGTATGGAATGAGCTGCCAGAAGTAGTGGTGGAGGCTGGTACAATTACAACATGTAAAAGGCATCTGAATGGGTATATAAATAAGATGGGTTAAGAGGGATATGGACTCAATGCTGGGAAACAGGACTAGATTAATTTAGGATATCTGGTCAGTATGGACAATTGGACCGAAGGGTCTGTTTCTATGTTGTACAGCTCTGTGACTCTAAATTACAAGAGATGCAAGAATTAGAAAGTAATTATAATGGGAACTTTAATTATTCTAATAGAGATTTGGATACTAATGGTATATGTGGTAGAGCAATGCTGCAAGAGTCCCCGAAATATATTCAGGAAAAATGTCTATAGTGGTATGTTTCCGGACAGAGAAAGGAGGCGCGACTGGATCAGTTTTACTAGCTTCCATTGTGAAGTCAAATAAAAAATAATAAAAACAGAAATTACTGGAGAAACTGAGTAGATCTGGCAGCATCTGTGGAGAGTTAACATTTCGAGTCCAGTAGTCACTGGACCTGAAGCATTAAATCTGTTTTTATCTCTCCACAGATGCAGCTAGACCTGCTGAGTTTCTCCAGCAATTTCTGTTTGATTTCAGATCTCCAGCATCTGCAGTTTTTTTTATTAAAAAGAAGTTATTTGACTGCCTGCCATTTCATAATCATTATGATGCCTCCTGCCTCAGCCTCAAAAAGAACCAAACTTATTTCTGCATCATTTTAAACAATATATATTTTACATCCTGTTACAATCTTTTATATTTTTAAGAGTTTAATTATTCTCTTTTTCCCTCTTTGTTAATGTTTTGGTCATCTTATGTTGGTGTCAAAATTCTCAACCCTCAATTTGTCTTTTGCTAACTGCCAGTCAATAACTTATATTCATGTCTTTATTTGATTCAGACAGAGCAGTCCTTTATTCTGCCTCTAACACTTATTCTGGACTAACATTTTGTTTCTTTACACTTGCCATCACCCCTCTTGCCTTTTGGTTCAAGTAGCCTTTATCTTTTTTTTAAAATCTCTACTATCCTCTAACCTAATCCCCACCTTCCCTTTTTTTTCTACCTGACCCTCCCCCTTTTTTAAAAGCATAAAACTCATCATATTTCTCTCTTCAGTTCAAAGAACAGTCCAATTGGACGAGAAAGGTTAACTGTTTTCTCTCCACTGATGCTCGCAGGACTGAAGTTTTATCTAGCACATTTTGTTTTAATCCTCAATCCTAACTCGTACCAACTTTGCAAAAAAAAAACTCTTCTTTTAATTATCATCTTCAACCTCTTTCGTTAGTCATGGGAAGATCTCTTTTTTCCAGGAATTTTAACTCTCAATGGAGTATGGACTTGTGCAGAATTAGAAAATATTTATTTATACATTTTGACATTGCTTAAGTAGCGTGATAGCTTTTAATTTAATTTCTCAATTGACCTTAACAAACCTATGCCTCATGTCTGCGAAACTGGTTTCACTCAAGTTTGATATTTTCCTTTTGAGCTATTTACTCAGAACTTAAACTCAATATGAAATTCAATCATACATATAAGACTTTCCCAAAAGATTCCACAGTATGAGATCTCCTATTAGCCCTGCATTGTTACACAAAGTAAGATGGTCAAATGGAAAATTAAGAAAAGACAACCTTGCATTTATACTA